AAGGGTTACAGTTGGGAACTTGATTCCATGTTAATGTAGTTGATTAGTTTAGTTTTGGAAATAGCTGAAAATCTCTCTTTGATTGATGGAATTCGAAGCACTCTGATGTGGCACAATCCTATTCTAAATACTAAATAGGACTGATTTTATCTCTATTTCTTTTTCTTTCTTATTTAGAATAGGATTTTCTTTCTTTTAGATTAGGATTTTAGTTTTCTTTCCTTATATTGGTAAAATTACGAAATAATTTACCCATATATTTAAAGGCTTTGCACACTTTTCAAGCAACAAATTCATTATAATCAAATTATTCATTGCATATTTTTGAGTTTTTTAGCTTTATTCTTTGTTTCAAGAATTTCAGTTCCGCTTCGGCACCACCTAGTGTCTTTTTGAGAAAATCAAGCTCAAATTATGTGAAGAAATAACCAAAAATAATGGTTTGGTATATTGGTGCCTAGTGTTTGAATTTCATGACCAACCTTCATGAGGTGGGAAGTTTCAACATCTAAAACTTGCTTCGAGCTCACTAGATAGCTTGTTCGCAGAATTTACTTACGTGCAAATCCTAATTATGTTAGATCGATCTTTTTATCATTTATTTTAGCTGTATTGAAGCTTATATTGCGTATTTCACAAGGATTTCCTTTTGTTTGAGATCTACCCTGTATGTTTGCACTACAATTTTCACGTATGTCTAATAATGTTGTTTGATTCATGAAGACACTTATTTTATCGTTGTAAGCATGTGTATTCTTGGCGTGCTTGCTTTGCAGCAGTGCTCAATCTCATTCAGCCATATCTATGTTGAGGAAAGACTAGAAACATTTACATTGTCTCAAGGAGTCTTGTAATGTTGATTCTTCTTCTGATATGGCAGCTGATTCTTTGCTTTTATCATTTGCTCATAATTCACAACCTGCTAAGAAGCCTGAAAGCATACGAGCTACTTCTTTTACTGAGGCAAGCTTATCAGGGAAAAGTTCAGATGACAATTCTTCAGAAAGGTATGCTAACCATGGTCAGAATTTACACAGCATTTCCAAATTATATCCCACTTTTTAGTTCAAAATTCAATTGATGATGTCAAAACTGTTTCATTATGATTTATTTTTTTGCCCTTGGGACTTAGTGGTGGAAAATTTATCCCGTCATGGGCTTTTCTAGACTAAAGTTCAGAAATCTTTAACTAAATAGAACTTTCAGACATATCATAAGTGAAGTGCATTCTCACTCAGCCTCCGATATCACAATTGCTCCTAACTTGTTGTGTAAGCACTGTAAAACAGGTTGAATAATCTATATTTTTGCAGCGGGCAAATCGGCAAGTTCCCAAGATGTGTTGTAAATTTTTTAGAATAATTCTATTTGTACACCCAAAGGTGTACCGAATTGTTTACCTTCTCTCACATGCATGCAAGATCCACGTGAATAAAAAATCACAAAATGTGATCCCCACCCCCTATTGTGAATAGTCCGTAAGGGATTAGGTAAAAAAAATTTGGTGCATGTAGCAGGGTCCTTTTGTTTTTGCTGTGCATCTTTCCCTCCTGTTGAAATTTTTTCATCTGCAAGATTATAAATGCCTGCGATGATCAATAATTTATTATTTTTCTTGAATATGCTTAGTTTTGCTAGGGAGGGGATCTGTTCTTCCTTTCAAGCTCATTGGTAGAAGGAAAAATGTAATGCTTATAAGTTGCTTTTTTACTTTTTGCTTGTTCTTCTGATTTCTAAGAAGTCCCTTTTTCTAAAAACTGTATGGTCTGTTTGTCCTCGCTAATGTCAAATGTTTGCAGAGTGCATGTTTTATTTATGTTCGACTTTGCCAATTCAACAAAACTGCAATAAGTAGTTGAGTTGTTAACAACTTGGATAGGAAATATAATTAAAATAGTCTGCATGGATTTCACAGTATATTTAGTAATTATGTATAGAATAAAGCCACTTGGCCCGACTTAAAAATGGGAAGTGAAGAGACGGACTAATGTGTCAACAAATGATTGGGTGTTTTTATTTTAATTTTTCAAAATGTCCAATCATGCGTCGACACGTGTCCCATCCAGATTTGAGCCTGGATGTGTAGTATGATTGTTATAAATATGGGAAGATACCGTAGAGTCAGTAGTAGTAGCAATCTTTACTCTTCAATGTTCTTGTTTGAGAAATCTTAGAATTGAAGAGGTATAGCAGTTCATTACTTTCTAGATATAACAATAGAATAAAAGAGGTGTAAATACAGTAACATCCTAAACACAAAATACTCTCTATTTTAGAGAGTCGATGCTTAAAAATGAGCTCCAAAATACTCTTCATTTTAACTTTTTAAAATAAAAAGTGGATACGGCTCTTCAAATTTAGAGAGCCAAACTCAATGTCTATTCTTAATGTCCAATGATTATATTGAATACATTACATATTTTAATACTCTACAATTTAAATTATTCAAATTACATTTGAATTGATTGGCTATTAACATATAAAAAAATTTATGTTAAATAAGATATGAGAAGAAACTATTGAGCCTGTTTGAGCACCCATTAAAAGGCTAAAAATACATTTTAGAATAGTAAATTGATAAAGAATTTGTAGTTAAAAATAAATAAAAATCTTGGGTTTACGTGTAAATATTAGAGGATAGGTCAAGGGGAGGTTTGGAATGAAATCAGAGTGGATTTGCGGCTAGAAATATTCTTGTTATTACTTCGACTCATATTCCCCAAAAAGTGGATCCCGCTCTAATAGCTCCGAATAAATTAAATACGTGCATTAAGATACGAAGTATTACTCTTTAAATTTAAAAATGCTCTATATTATGCATAAAACGTCCTTTTGGCATATGGATCGTTTAAATAGTGCATTTTGGTTATTTTCATATCATTTATTTTTCAAAAACCTCTCTCTTTCCTCTTCCTATTTTCTTGCCTCTGTTATATGTCTGTCCTTTCACCAATAATTATGGAGGTGTCTTTACATATCAATAATCCTGTCAATTCCAGAAGAAATGAGTTTTCAACGAATTTCTTAACCATTTTATATTCGATAATTACGATCATTTATCTTATTTTCTTTCTGATTGCAGAATACAGCCATCTCCATCAACAGACACTGGTCAAGAGAAGGCCAAGAGTCAATTATTTCCACTCTTATTGAGGTATGACCAGCAGTTTGCATTCTTCGACTCTTAGTTATGGACAGAATTAACCATAATCAACGCTTCGTGTTGACTTAGCCATTGTGTATAATGAAGAGGTGAATGGCCAATGTAACCTTTTTGGACCAGTGTCAACTCTTAGAAGACACTTTCTTTGTATTCTGGTGTTTACATTCAATGTATCATTCCTAATTTGAGATTTGCTATTTGAATACTGAAATAGGAGACGATGAAAATGGCTGTAAAACTCGAAGTTATAACGATTTCATTTTTCTGGTAATGATTTTATGTTTGAAGCTTGTTTTCTGCCATTATGGTGTCGAGTCGTGACCCAGCTATTTCCTTTATGTTTTTAAATGTAACATCTATGCATCTGCTGGTGACTGCTCCTACCGTGTTGGAGTATTAGCCCGAGCAAATATTTGCAATGGAAGTGATTCAGCCACTCGAAATTATTAGAGTCACATACGAGCTTAGATTTCAGTCAGTTTGATGGGTTAGACGCCGTTTGTCATGACTTTTCAGAAGTCCCAAAAGCTGCTTTCCGACCCGTTTGGCTAATTTTATAAAACGACTATTAGTTACAAACTTTAAAAAGTTGATCCAATTTAGCTTCATTTAATCATTTTTAAATGATTTTCATTTGTCATTGAATTTGAAAAGTTTCCTCCGAGTTGCTAATGAATTTTGTTAACCGTTTCCTAGCAGGCATTGAACATTGAAAGTTTTTTGAGGGGTTGGGAAACTTACCAAAATGTTATCTCATGTGTCACTATACTTTGAAAAGGCACGTCACCAAAATGTTATCTCGTGTCAATTTACTTTGAAAATGCACGCCACTTGTGATTTTGCTTATGTGGCATATACCAACATCAAAAGCATGCCACGTGTGAAGATTTCGTCCATCACGTCAACAAGTTGTATGTTAGTTTAGTGAGAGTTATGAATGGGATAACGGTCTGGCAAATAGAGTGGTAACTCAGAAAAAAGTATAAAGTTCGATAGCAATCAAAAATTGGTGGAAAAAGGGGTCCAGCAGAGCCAACAGCTTTCCTCACCGTTGTCTCTAGTCGCAACACCCTCTCTCTCTCTCTCTCTCTACATCCGAGGAAACCTATCCCGTTTCCGCTCTTACCTCCAGCCAAACATCCTTCTCTACCACCACAAAACTTTCCATTCCTCGTCTCAACCGAAATTTTAAATAGCTGGTGTATTCACAATGGCAGGGCACAAGTAAAAATGCATTCAAAATCTTCCAAATTGTTCAGCTGATCATATCCTCAACACGAGCTAGCTCAGTATTTTTTTGGCCAACAGATGCATGGAGATTGGAGAGTTCAAATATCATATTCCATCCCCATGACAGTAAAAGAAAGATCTCAACCAGAGGAACATAACAAGGCAATGATATTACATACAAAATATAAAAATTTTAAGAACATTTTTTGAAAACTCTTCTAAGTTGATATAGGATTTATACATTCATTTAGAAGTAGCTCTCTCTCTCTCTCTACATCCGAGGAAACCTATCCCGTTTCCGCTCTTACCTCCAGCCAAACATCCTTCTCTACCACCACAAACCTTTCCATTCCTCATCTCAACCGAAATTTTAAATAGCCGGTGTATTCACAATGGCAGGGCACAAGTAAAAATGCATTCAAAATCTTCCAAATTGTTCAGCTGATCATATCCTCAACACGAGCTAGCTCAGTCTTTTTTTGGCCAACAGATGCATGGAGATTGGAGAGTTCAAATATCATATTCCATCCCCATGACAGTAAAAGAAAGATCTCAACCAGAGGAACATAACAAGGCAATGATATTACATACAAAATAAAGTAAAATATAAAAATTTTAAGAACATTTTTTGAAAACTCTTCTAAGTTGATATAGGATTTATACATTCATTTAGAAGTAAAGACTACGGATTGGTCAAGTTTTCATCATCAACAGACAGCAGTTGGGGACATCTAAGTCTACCGGCTCCATACTCAGCCATTCTACTAACATATGGATATCAACGATCAATTTTCTCATGCGCATCAACAGCCACCACCTGCTGCTGCATGATTATATCCTACTCTTTTGATAATAACGCCTTTGAAAGAATTTTACACAACTAAAAGGTAAAACAGTAGTTAAACAACACTGCACAATTTTTCACCAGGATATTTGTTGGAGAGGGAATTGTTTTTTGTATAGCAGTTTAGCTTCCAAAAATCTGTCTTCTGTACCAAAATTGGCACTGAACTTCAGCCACTACAACTAGATATGGGCACGTGAAGAAAATTCAGACCCCATCATCTTCGTTGAGAGTAGTGAGTGCGAAAGAATTGGTAATCGGGGTGGTTCACCTGCAAATTTCGAAGCCAGTTGTCGGCAGATTGCAAAAGATAGTTCTCTTGCTCACATTCACGGGGTCCAGTAGGACTCAAAAGTGAACCTTTCAGCTTGTAGGAAGCTAGGCCAAAGACTGGCAAAGAAATTTTCGAAGATGGGTCAACAATGTCACGGACTTTCCTAGTATACGCAGCATGAAATCGAGGTGGAAAATTACCTGTACAGTAAAAATGAAAAAACAATCAAGAAATGCACAACGCATATTTGTGCACAAACACATTTAGAGAGAGAAAGTACTTCTAGATAGTGTTGACAAGGAATGAAATGTCAAAAAAGATGCATCCAAATCCTTTAGAGTTGGGCTCACAGGTATTCTATAAATTGGATACCTGCAATAAATTTGATTATCGAAAAAGAAGACAGTAAGAGTCATAAACATCTCAATCAAAAAGTATAAAGAAATATAATAAATATGCAATTAAAAAAAATACCAAGCTACAGAAATCCAACTTGACGGGAGTAGATCACAGCTCCTACACTGTCTCAGCTCAGGAAATTGAGATGCAAGAATAGAAATCTGCAGGAGTTATGGGAAGATATTCAACTGCGGTCCTTCGCCAGCACATAGAAATCAATAGCTGCTAATTCAATATTTTCATCTCAAGTTAATCTACCTTATCACTTAGTGGTTTACGTAGATGTGGTTGTTCTTGTTCTAAGTATTCAAACAAGAGTAATCCAGGCCAATTGGAAATTTCAGCTTCATCACTCGATGAACTTTTGACAAATTTATCCGTTGACAGCCTATTCAGTTGCTGGGCATTCTGATGAGGCCGACATCCATCAACTGGGGATTTGGATCGCTTATCTGCTTCACGATCACTGCTGCCAGCACTACTTGTCTCCCTAGATGACTCAGAATCGCTCTCCTCACCAGGCCTCCTAAAAGGGGGAAAAAAAGGTTTAAAAGGGAAGAAAAGAAATGATACACTCAACATTACAATGTCTAGTGCAGAAAGCAAGTAGGCAGTTTTTCTTATTTTAATGCTTCACATTTACAAAAGAGTAAAGCGAAAAACAAAGCAGTCAGCATGATCCACAAATCATAATGTTATTGAAAAGAACAAAGCAACCTACAGGACAAGCACAGCATATTTGGATGTTTAATGAGGTTAAACAACAACATGATGACTGAAACGCTTCCTTACCAATAATCCATGTATTATCTGTGGAGAAAGATTCAATATAAATGAAGAAATAATGCTCGACAACGATAAATGTGCAAAAGTCATCAAGTGTGAGTCAGGCAGCCTATCGGGCGCTTCTCCAACTTCTGTTCCTAGTGTATTGATAAGACAATAACACGTGGAGAAAATCGTGAATTTAAAGTCCTTTGACTGAACTCTTCTTCTGTAATATGCCAATTTAAATTTGCTAAATTATGATCAAAATGCCTTCAGCGACTGCTTTTTTTACAAGTTCAATTGTAACCCCAAAGGGGTATTTACTATCATATCCTTAACCTCTGTATGTAAAACATGATTCACTCCTAAATACATTTAAGAAAAGACAAAAAAGAAGTGAACTGCTCAAGGATATTATACTGATCATCTAGGCAGGATATTTTAGTAACCGATACAAAGAAGTAGGGCAATAGGGGAGCAAAATATTTCTGCCCAAAGAAGAGATAGTATGACAGACAGTACATGGAAATATGTTTTTACTGGAAGAAACAGAAATCAGCTTTTCCAGAATAATGTTACTGCACACTTCAAGCAAAAATAATTATCAATCTTAGACTCACCAGCTAGAGCCTTTACAAACATTCCCCTTGTAGGGGACAAGGAGAAGCAGACCCCAAAAAAGACAAGCATAAGCTCTTGAATATATCATGTAATACATGCATTAAATCCACTAATACATGGACAAGAATTTCTAGCACATCCAAAGAAATAGGTCAGATTGCTTAAAATTCCACAATGTTTTGGCATCTATAGTACTTAATCTAATAAAGCCAATTATATTTGGAACTCAGAAGATGCAAATAGAAAAGCAAGAATAGTATGCTGCTACTGAATAAGTAAGACTTTTATCACTGAGTCTTCAACAATGCAAGAAATAAAATGAGAAGGTAAGAAAAAAAATAAGGAAAGACGGAAAAGCAACTTCAACACCAGCATAGGCCTGATTTTACTGCTCAATTCCTCAAGAACTAAAAGAGGACAAATGCCGATGACAGAAACAGTTCACTAATATTCATCTCCAGCACTTTTTGTAAAGTCAAATACATTCTTCATATCACAGTTTGTCTACCACCATGAAGGGAAACTAATATAACTACAGATCATTAGTCATTACTGTAGCATTGAGGGTGTATAAACCAACATAACAAATCTATCTAACACTTGGCAAGAAAGAAATGAGGAAAACATATCTAGAAGCCATTTTTTATGACAGGGAAAACCCCTCTCTATTGCTAGACCAAGAACTAATGGATCGTGGTTTTGAATTTTTTCATGTTCATCAATTAAATAATATTTAACAACCTTAAAGACCCGCTTTCTAATATGAACTTCCTTTTAGATCCTTTTTGGTAGATATATAGGCGGTCTGTATTCTTATAAGGAGATATCTACAGCCCTACCTCCCAAATTATTTAAGGTTTAGCTTGTAGTCTGGGAGACAGATAAAAGTAAAAACAAACCCATGAAAAGGCAATGCAAAAAGTCAAGCAGCAGGCTAGATGGAATGAATGAGTTGTAAAATAAAACAGTTTGCACTGCTCAATGCCCCTGAAATACCCTATAAGAAATAAGACGATAAAAAAGAATTAATTTTTTGCTAAATTCCTTATTTACCCAATGTATCATTGTTTCAGCTCACGCTATATATATAGAGGGGAACTACATTTTTTTGGTTCATTGTTAGTCGGTTACACTTGTTCGATATTAAATCCCGTCAATTGGAATGTTATTAGAGCTGGTTTCACAATTCTTTTTTTCCCCTCACTGTGTAGCTGGACAATTCAAATACCACTGCATCCTTCTATTCCTCAGAAAAGATGATCCACTCGCCCACTGGCTTGGTGAGCAGAATTGGTACCCGTAAAAGTTGTCGTCTATAATCATATCCTACATTGGGATTGATGAAGGAAGTGAGATCTGAGAGAAAGTCTTCTAATCCAACTATTTATGGTACCCGTGAGATCCTTAGGGTCCAGCATCAAGAAATGCCACTAGCAATAAAGTTGTCTATTAAACTAGAGTAGCAATGTCCAAGAGCTCATAACAGAAGCAATTGAAATAGATACATCGCTAGTCAATGAATCTTACTTACGGCTTGTTTGAGCCCCATTATTTAGAAAAAATGCATTCTTCTACAGTATTTTGACATCAATTCAATCATATATTCTTCAATACAATAATATTACACGTAAATTCAAAACTTTTGCTTATTTTTTAACCACACATTTCCCATCAACACACTATTCAAAAATTCATTTTTTTCCTCCAAAATGGGGCTCAAACAAGGGCTTAGAAAACTACTAATTGAAGACAACATAATTGATTATCAAAACGAGACACCAACCTAATTAAATTTAAAAATCAATTAACACAAGCAAAGATTAAAATTATTAAGGCTCACCTGCGATGAGGAGGAGGCTTTGACTCGTCTATGTACAACTGTAGGCCTGACAAGTACGGAACATAATATTGTGTGATTAGGTCCTTCCCATTTAACAACAAAGGTACTCCAGCTCCATACACGCTCCATTCACGAAAAGATTCCCAAAGATCCTCCAAGCAATAAAATGGAAGGGACTCTACTTCCTGCATTTTCCTTCTTCTTACTCGCACCTGTCAAAACATAATCTTCCAAAAATTTACGAATTTTTAAGAGCTTCCTTTCTCATAAGATCTTCCCAAACTTCCTCAACTTGACAGGTTTCAAAAAAAATACTTCTCTAAATGACTCAAATCGGCTCAAACTGACAACCTTTTAGAAACTACACCTCTCATAAATCTTTCAAAATAATGCAAATTAAAGACCATTCAAGAATGAAATTCAGAAATATTTCAAAACAGACCGCAATTCCAAAAACCTACTCCATATATCCTTTCCAAGGATCGAATTTCACAATCTTCTAGTATCTATATTTTTATAAATTTATCAAACGCCGCAAATTAACTACTATTCTTTCTATGCATCAATTGAGAACATTCTTTTCCTTTCAGAATGCATTTGATTTAATTTTGAATGGGGCAAAAACTGGCATTCAAATCCATCTAATTTCAAATCCCATGTTTCACATGCTAATCCTGTGATGCTAAAAAATCAACAACAAGGAACTCACCAAATTTAAATTTCAAGAAAAATGAAGTAAACTTGATTCTGAATTTTAGACGCTTAAAATTGGTTCATCTCTTCTGCAAAAACAAGTTCTTCTAATGATCTAAATAAAATAACTAAGTCGGACCTATTCCGTTTCGTTATTAGCAGCAAACAAAGCAGAGCTACGGGCATACGACCAGAAAAAAAGAGAAAATGAATAAAAAACAAATAAACCCAATTCATACCTCAGAGAAATTCTGAGCAGGAACGAAAGGAGTGACAGAATCCATCAAACGGTCTAAGTTCGTAACATTCACCGGCATTGGTCTGGGGGGCGATGCCGAGCTGACAGAAGATGGTCTAGAAAATGACTTCGTTGAATCATCGGACTCACTCCGATTTCCCGCCTCCACCACTGCAGCGGCGGAAGAAGATTCCGACTTCACCGGCGCCCTTGGCAACTGGTGCTTCTGCCGATGCTGCTGCTGTAACACCTGCTGCTCCGGCTGCTGCTGCAACAGCATCTGCTGGTGCCGACGTACAGCCGGTGGGTTGTAAAACCTGTCCCCACCATGGCTCCGCGACACCGCAAAGCCTCCCGAACCTGACATTATGCTCAATTCAGTTAAATCAAATCCTGCGTGTATGAACAGTAAGTCGTCTATGTTGTGTACTAGTGCGAGTATTTTGAATTGGGGAATTCGTTAGCAAACGATTACAAAAAAAATATGAAAAAGTGAAGCAAAATGAGATCGAATTAAGCGAATTTGGGATTATAGTAATTAGGGTTTTTGAAGGTTTTTCAAAGGGTCTGTTTGCAAATGTGTGTTGAAGAAGAAATGGAAGATTTCAACTGTGTGTGTTTGGCGTCTTCCTCTATTTTTATTGGGTTGTTTCCGTGTGGGCTTTGAATGTGAAAAGGAAAGGGAAAGGGAAAGTCGTAAATTCTGCATTTCTTTCAAATTAAAATAAATGCAATTTCGGATCATAATTTATATTAATTAGTCCCTCCGTTCCAATTATATAATCACAAGAATTAAAAAATCTTCTTTAATATCATTGAAAAATTAATTTTTACCACGATCTTTCCTAATTTACTGATATTTAATTTTCAGTACGTAGTAATAAATTATTGTTGGAATTAGTAAAGAATTTGAATGATTTAATTTGAAGAATAAGAAATGAGAGTTGTTCCATATTTTCAAAAAGTAGAAAATGTATATGTTTGGATAATTTTAAGAAGTCAGCATATTAAGAAGGGAAAAATTGAATAAGAGTACATTGGTAAAGAAACAAAATAAAATATTTTAAATTAGGAAACATGCTTGAAAAATGAAACTCAACCTATATATTTGGGTCAAAGAGAGTAATTAACAAATTTTTTGTTCTTTTTTTTTTTTTTTTTGAAAGTGATATTCTTGTAGTCTTACTGTTTTCACGATAGTAAATATATTAATCATGTTCGTATATATATATATTTGCGAGAGAAAAACAAGGATAGCATTAAAATTACAGAAAGAAAAACATATACAAGAACAAATAAAATTTATAGGGGATCGCCTCATTGTGAGACTAGATTCTGTCCATCTCTCTAATAACTTCACTATGATAAAAAGAAGCTACAAAAGAAAAGAAAAATCACGCACCCTATTTTTTGGATAACGATCCTCAGATAATTAAGTAAAGGAAAAGCAAGGTATAAAAATGTGCTTAGTGACTTTTTTGGGATGAATATTTGTTGTCTATAAAGATTAGGACGAAGCTAGTCTCACTTGGCTTTGCACATACTAGAGATTTGTCCTCGTTTTGCACCGTGGTGAATTAAAAGGACCGAAGAGAGAATGAAAGTTGGAGCCATTTGGACTCAAGACCCTTGGATCTTGTCCAATGGGCTCACCCGATTTCTAATGGGCCAAGTTATTCTGGCTAACTTGAAGCCATTAGAAGACTGGGTCATCAGAAAAATAATCAATTTTTTTTGTCTTATTTGTTATAAAATTAAGGGGAAGAGAGAAAATATGAGAAGAAATAAAGAATTAAAATCCAATTGTGTAATATTATGAACCAATGTCCTATATTTATTGAGTCCAAAATAATACTTACAATTGGAATAAAATAGATTTTCTAAATTATAGATAAGATTTATCCATGTATCATGATAATACTAAATAATTATCAATAATTATTTCATTATTTTACAACACTCCCCCTTTGATGATTATTTGTACAATAACTGTCTCGTTAAAATCTTGTTTGATAAAAATTCAATGGAAAAAAATCAAACAAAGGAAAAAGAGTACAATTATTTTGGAGTACTAAAAATAAATAATGCCTCATTAAAACTTTGCTGCGAAAATCCAGTGGAACAGAACCTAAGCTAAGAAAAAAGAATACATCTACTCCCCCTGATGTTGATCACTGAAAATCTTTGAGTCGATGCATTTCAATCTCATGAACTAATTTCTTGAATGTAGATGTTGGCAGTGCTTTTATGAATAAATCGGTCACATTGTCACTTGAGCAAATTTGTTGGATATCGATATCGTCATTCTTTTGAAGCTCATGTGTATGAAAGAATTTTGGAGAAATATGTTTCGTCCTATCACCTTTGACATAATCTCCTCTGAGTTGTGCAATACAAGCTGCATTGTCTTCATACAAAATTGTTGGATTATCCTTTGTTGAAATTGATCCGCATGATGCTTGGATATGATAGCTCATGTTTCTCAACCATACACATTCTCGGTCTGCTTCATAGATTGCAATAATTTCAGAATAATTTGAAGATGTAGCTATCAAGGATTGTTTCACAGATCTCCATGATATAGTCGTTCCTCCATGTGTAAACAAATAATCTGTTTGTGATTTAGTTTTATATAAGTCAGATAGATAACATGCATCTACATATCCTACTAAAGCAGGTCTCGACTTTTGAGAATAAAATAATCACAAATCAATAGTACTCTTTAGGTAACGAAAAATATGTTTAACATTCCAATGTCTTTGAGTTGGTGTAGAGTTATATCTTACAAGGAGATTTACAGAAAAAGCTATGTCGGGTCGAGTGCAATTTGCAAGATAAGTTAATGCTCAAATTGCACTAAGATATGGTACTTCAAGACCAAGAACTTTTTCTCCATCTTCTTTTTTCACATCAAGTGATCGAACAACTATAGGTGATGCCAATGAATGTATATTATTCATGTAAAAACGTTTTAAAACTTTTTTGGGTTAATCTCCTAAATGGTCACTAAACTTTGCCGAAAGTCCCCAAAGGGTTACTGAACTTCAAAAATCCCCTGGTTAGTCACTCAACTTTGCCAAATGGGATCCCATCCATCATCGACCTGACTCTGTTAGTAATATTTGACAATTTGGTACACTTGTCTGACAAAAGAGGTGATGTGGCAAGGTTTTAAAGCTGGAAAAAAAATTCTTGAAAGAGAGAACCACGTAAAAGGCTGGGAAAAATCATTTTAAACACCCAAACCCTTATTTTCCCCCAAATTCAGATTCTCCAAAATCTCTCTTACCAAATCGGAACTTATGGAACTCTTGGTAGAATTGCCCCAAGCATAGTTGATGTTGGCCGAGCTGGCCGGCCAGGGAGCAACATCGACGGGCCGCTAGATGGCATAATTATGTGGATGCTGGTCGAGCTGGGAGCTGAGGAGGCTATTGATATGGTGAATGATAGCAGCATGAGAAGAAGGGAATGATGGTAAAGATTAAGGATAAGCTGCTTGGTGGTCGCTAGATGACATAATTAAGTCTGTCTATGTGTGTTCCAAAATCATGTTTTATGCTATGCTTAATCTGGATGGATGCGTTATTTTTGCTGAATATGGAGACCAAGACCTCCTCCATCTTTGAATAATGCACCTACATACAACCAAAGCTTATTGGAAGAAAGGTCCAATGGTCGAAATATGCCATTGTTTTGATCAAATAGAGCATTTAAATAACAATTGATGTGTGGTGCTTTTAAATATCAAATAGAGCTAATTGGAAGATGGTCTAGAGTTGTTGTTGGTTGGATTTTTAATTTCTTATTGTGAGTGGTGCATTTCAGTTGATGGGTTCTTTTGCCAAGAACTCAAAATCTCATTCATGATCAATTAACACTCCATCTAGCGGGGTGGAACCACGGGTGGTCAGTGACAAAAGATCAAGCTGGTTTTTTAGGAAAAATCCACATTATTCCAGGGGAATTTTGTCATGCCCTGTCAATGAGTTTGAGTCCTAGAAACCACTCTCTATTGCAGATCCCATTACATCAACATTGGTCTCTAGCACAATTCGAGAGAGCTCTGGTATTATATATAGCATCTGTTGTAGGAACTCCAAATATGTTGTAGTTCTCGTTTCAATTAGAAAAATATAAGATGGAATGTTGTATTACTTTTGTTGTAACATCTTTCTGGTAGATCAATGGGATGTTGTTGTTATTATTATTATTATTATTATTATTATTATTATTATTATTATTATTATTATTATTATATCTTCCAATGGACCAGATTTTTTGATCACTGGACAACCATAAACATAGCAAAACTGAAATGCAGATGCACAAAATGCTCATTAAATTCAAGTGTAATTACATTGCTCCAAACAAAATCATATCATATCTTCTAAATAGTCGGACAACCAAAATACTACAAAACAAACTCCGACATTTATCAGATAGCTTGGCTGCTTCCAAACAAAATACAAACCAAAAGATATCCACATTTTTATCCCTATTGGTGCTTTGTCAGCTTCTAATCTCCATCTAACCACTCTCTGCTTTCATGAACTTGTGGTTCTACGAACTTATGGTGCCTTTTGTTATGTCCCTTTTCCCCACAAATAGAACATGTCATGTATACAACACCCTTTTTTCTTACTTGTGATTGTGACTGTGAATGTGTCTGTGACTGGGATTGTCCATCTTCATCAGGTCCTGTTCTTCTCTTTTTTTGTTTTCTTCCAGCTGAAGGAATATAAAAAGGGGAAGCAAAACAGGGGAGTGTGCACATTCAGGCCATAACGCCTTACCAATAATAGGATATATGACATTCTCGTACGTGCTCATGTAGGTCTCAACCATATACCAGTCGAAGACGTAATCTCTTATCTCGTGACCCATATCCAAAATGCAAGCAATGGTATGTGGACATGGAATGCCAGAAATCTGCCATCTCCTACAGGCACACGTTCAACTATCCATGTCCACAACAAATTCTCCATATGAACTCTCAACTTGATATTGGTTTAGCCCGTTCCATCTCAAGATACATTCACGGGTTGCATCACAGTACTTCTCCAACTTCTTTTGTATTTTTGCACATATGGGTTTGTTGTAATATCTTAACTTGTCTCGCTTTACCTGAATTCTATGCATGAGTTTCATCTGAATGCCTACAACATATCTAACAATGACTTTTCCCTTTCTTCCAAAATGAAGTTGTTGAAGCATTCACAAAGATTATTAAGGAGCATCTCACACTTCGACTGATCTGAAAAATGAGATCTACTCCATTCGTTTGGTGACTTTGTCATCAACCATCCATGTGACTCCTTCTTGGCACTTTCAATCTTAGCCATCCAATATTTAAAAGATGCAAAGTGACTAGATTTCGCTGCACCCCACAAATAGTTTTTCAATTCCTTACCCTTAAAGTCACTCCTAAAGAAATTCCGATACATGTGTCGGACACAAAATCTATGTTCGGCTTCTGGAAATAATTCAGCAACAACATTAATTAATCCCCTTTGTCTATCGCTCATGAACGTCACAGATGGCCAATTTTCTATAGCAAGATCTTCAGACAATAACGTCAAAAACCACCTCCATGAACTAGTGTTCTCCCTCTCCACAATTGAATATGCAATCGGGTATATA